GGCCTGATTCTTTTTTATTTTTGAGCTCCTGTAAAATTTTAGCTCTTAAAGAATATAATGAAAAGTGTGATTGTTTTGAAACTGTTTATTTTCACTACCAAACAGGTGGTAACTGCAGAACCTTTCCATTTGGCTTCTTGGAATTGTGAGACCTTATCTGCAGATTACGGAATATCAATAACTTTATTTTTATTTTTTTAACAACTAGGGATAAGGTAAGGACTACAGAAGGTAAAAGGGGGCATGAGGGAAAGGGGGGGGGCAAGTAGAACACAAAATATACTAGCATCCAAGCTGTTCATGTTTCGATATCCAGTCAACTTTCCGCCTTTCTACAATTTGATTGCCCTCCAGATCTCAATTTACAGTTACATCTTAGTTTAAATATACAGTACTGTATGTTACTCAAGCATTATCTGGGGACTCCAGCCACTTGTATAATAAATCCCATTGTCCAGTTGCCATTTGTATCGGACAGTCTTTCAACACTTCTGATAGAATATCCATTTCTGCTGCTTCCCATATCTTCTCAGTGAGTTCCTCTTGTTTCAGTATCTCCAATTTCTTCCAATTCTTAGCATAAAGAATTCTGGGTGCAGTGACTATATATATTAGATAGCTCTTTGTCTTATCTATATTGTCTGCTAGACCAGTGGTTCTTAACCTTGGGTTACTCAGCTGTTTTTGAATTGCAACTCCCAGAAACCCCACCAGCACAGCTGGTGGTGAAGGCTTCTGGGAGTTGCAGTCCAAAAACACCTGAGTGGCCCAAGGTTAAGAACCACTGTACTAGACTCTAGTATAATGCTCAGTAAAAACAATTCTGGGGTTAGTGGAACATTACAAAGCAGTATTTTTTGTAACAGAGTATGTACTGCTATCCAATACAGTGGGGTCTTGACTTAAGAACGGCTCGAGTTAAGAACATTTTGACTTAAGAACTGCTCTCATAGGAAAATATTGACTTAAGTACTTAGATTTGAGTTAAGAACTGAAAAAAAACCACGTGGGAGGCAGGGAAAGTGCAAAATTTGAACTTTCAGGTAACTGTTGGCCAGTGAAAAGGGTGCCTGTCTGCTTCCTCACTCCTCCCAGCGTTTAGAGAGTGGATTGGGAGACAGTCTTCGGACTGCCTGGTACTGTACTGCCTGGACTGTATTTTCCCTGCCTTCCCTGAACCTTTCTTGACCTAAGAAAAAAAGAAACAAAATATCCCCCTCTAGTGGTCGAAGGTGGAATAGCAGCTTCCCATTAGTTTCTATGGACAGAAAAGAGCAGATACGGATCAAATGGTTTTCAATGCATTCCTATGGGAAATGCAGATTTGACTTGAGAACTTTTTGACTTGAGAACCGCCTTCCAATACGGATTAAGTTCTCAAGTCAAGACCCCACTGTACTGTTTCGCTGCTCTATACAGTCCACCACATATGGTAGACTGTCCCTTTGTCTCAGGATCATAACAGTAGATCCATGTCTCATCACCAGTTACCAGTTTGCCCAAGACATCTGACTAATTTCTTGCAAAATGTTCCAAAACAGCCACCAATGACTTCACACGTTTCCTCTTTTGTTCAGTTGTCAAAAGTTTGGGGATCCATTTTGCTTCCAGCTTTCTCATTTCCAAGTCGTTGTGGATAATGGCATCTACTCTCTCGTGTGATATTCTCAGACATGTAGCAATACTTTTGGCTGATATTCGGTGGTGCTCCATGATCACGTCATTGATAGCTTTCACATTTGCAGGCACAGAGGCAGAAACAGGCCTTCCGCTGGGTTTCTCACTTTCAACACTGAAATGGCCAGTTTTAAAACTAACAACCCAACGTTTAACTATTGCATATGAAGGGCCACTGTCCCCAATAGTTTGTGACATTGCAACATGGATCTGCCTTGCACCTTTCCCTTTGAGAAAGGGGCACTTTATTATGGTCATATGCTCTTCCACATTCATCCTGCCGTCTAAGTCGCACTGGCCATGTGACCACGGAAGATTGTCTTTGGACAAAACGCTGGCTCTATGGCTTGGAAACGGGGATGAGCACCGCCCCCTAGAGTCGAACACGACTGGACAAAAATTGTCAAGGGGAACCTTAACCTTTACCTTCTCATTCCCAAGTCATTGTGGATAATGGCATCAACTCTCTCATGTGATATTCTCAAACATGTAGCAATACTTTTGGCTGATATTCGGCAGTCCTCCATGATCACGTCATGGATAGCTTTCACATTTGCAGGCAGAGAGACAGAAACAAGCCTTCCACTGAGTTTCTCACTTTCAACACTGAAACAGCCAGTTTTAAAACTAACAACCCAACGTTTAACTATTGCATATGAAGGGCCACTGTCCCCAATAGTTTGTGACATTGCAACATGGATCTGCCTTGCACCTTTCCCTTTGAGAAAGGGGCACTTTATTATGGTCATATGCTCTTCCACATTCATCCTGCCTGTTCTGCTGGCAGGCAATAGTCCCACGCGGCTATTCTTGCCTGGACAGTTTTCTAGTGAGCCGGCTGGAGGATGCAGCCTCAGACTTTCCTATACACCCCTGTACCCTCCAGTCATGTGTGCAAACTGCTCCCTTTGGCTACTTTTACGTAGGAGGTGGCGGAATATGAGTTCTTCCCTACAAGACGGACTTTCTTGCTGGCTTGTTATGTCCGCTTTGCCTCTCTTGTCACATTAGATACAGAGAATTGCACGTGACTAACGTCTCCCTGTTCCAGTGTTCCTTTTCTAAATAAAATCAAGAAAATCTAATTTGCAAAAACTGGGTCCCTTCTATGCACCTTTAACCACAGTACAGACGAAGGAACTGGAATTACAGTACTGTATTGAAATTCCTCGCCCACACGATTGCAAAGGTAGAAGCTAGGGGTCGCTATCAAACCTGGCTGCGCCGGGCGGGGCGCTGACCCCTCTATTATTCCTCGGAAACAAATCCACGCATGAAGACGCTCTATCTCCGTTTCTTTTCTCTCTCTACTGCTCTGGATGGGCAGGCGCTCTGCGCGTCTCAGCTCGTCTCCTCCAGGAAGTTGAGTGGATACCGATTGCACGTGTTGAGTTGCGGCTGGAGCGAGGAGGTCACTTTGGGAAGTTTGTCCTCGCGTATGTCCGAGTTGGTGCGGGAGCTGAATGTCTGCCTTTTAAGCTGTCCGTTTCTGCTGAGTTCAGTGGTGCACTGTGATGCACCGGTTGCATAAAACGGGAGCTGTTTTTCAGATCAGGGGGCGACGAAGCGGAGAAGTAGCCTTTCCAGAAATTCTCCTTTCTATCAAAAGTCGGGGGATTCTTCCTTCCTCTTGCAACTCCTGAGATTGTCGGACTGCATGAAGTGGACAATCTGTATCAGAAAAAGTGAATTGAAGCCTACTTGAAGCTCGCACTGAAATCTGCTGATCTTCGGCTTTTTTTGGTCTTGTTCTTGCTGCAAGAAACGATCATCCCTGAAAACGATTATGTAAGTAGTTTTTAGTAACACTTCCTCTCATGTGAGGTTGTGGCTCATAAAGGTCTAGAAAAGTAGCAGGCAGAAACTGGATTTGGTTTCCATCCCTTGAAGATATACCTGCAGGACTTTCAAAAAGTCTCCCCTCATTTTTCCTCCAATTCTCCCACCATATAAGGTTTCAGAATTCCGAGCAATGAGTAGAGAAGCATCACTTCCAATCCTGGCTGTCCCTATGAGGAGAAGAGCCTGCAGTACATGCCTTTTCTCGGGCTTCGGGAGATCCTGAGAATCTGGGCAGGGAAAAACCTAACAATCTTTAGGAAACCTTTGGCACGGTACCTACCTGGTAGTGTTACCAATGGTGAGATGAGCTCATAACACCATGTGTTACATATAACATCCTCCCCACCCCAAGGATATGAAGTAGGAATGACGGCACCCTCCTATTTTTCAGCTTTTTTTTTTGTTAAACACTTGTTCTACTTCTTCTCATTAAATAATTTGTTGCCTGAATATAGCCGTTGTCTACTCACATCCTGTTTGAGAACTGTGAGTATTGGAAAGACTTTGAAAGCTCTGGAGGATAAGGATGGCTCTGTGCTGAGTTAGAGTGACCTAAGTGGTAATAGCATTAACAATATTTATACACACACACATTTACTGCCTCATTGGTGCAACCTCTCTCCTCCCCCTCCCCCCAGTCACTATATATTATTTCCTACTTATTCTGCCTTTATTCTGTGCCCCTCTCTCTGTTTTTGTCTAAGCATTTCAGGGTTGACACCTGGTACTGTACAGATATGTTGTGTTATTCTGGAAGTAACAACCATGGGTTAATTAACAGAGGAAGGGTGGCAGAGTATTGGAGAGACTTTGAAAGCTCTGGAGGATAAAGATGGCTCTGTGCTGAGTGACCTAAGTGGTAATAGCATTAACAATATTTATACACACACACATTTACTGCCTCATTGGTGCAACCTCTCTCCTCCCCCTCCCCCCAGTCACTATATATTATTTCCTACTTATTCTGCCTTTATTCTGTGCCCCTCTCTCTGTTTTTGTCTAAGCATTTCAGGGTTGACACCTGGTACTGTACAGATATGTTGTGTTATTCTGGAAGTAACAACCATGGGTTAATTAACAGAGGAAGGGTGGCATCAGGTTCCTCTTGAATTTAGAGGGCTTTTCCCTGTTCCTTTTATTTCTCTCTATTCCATTAAACTGACTGGCGTGGGGTTGGGGAGCTGGGGAGGGGGAAGTTGATTCTCACTGTAATACCTTTGGTTTCTTTGATGGCATCTCATTTTGCCGTTACAATACATCACATGGAATACGGTGAAGGATGGTTCAAGAGAATCTGGCTGCTCAGCCAGAGGTTGGGAGTTTGATTCCTCACTGTGCCTCCTATAAGTAGAGCCAGGATAGATTCAGCTGGCTAACCACCAAAGGAAACCTAGGTATTGCAAGTGATCCCCAAACGTCGATTCATGGCGCAGTGGTTAAACCACTCTACTGCAGCCAAAACTCTGCTCACGACCTGGGGTTCAATCCAGGTAGTCGGCTCCAGGTTGACTCAGCCTTCTATCCTTCTGAGATAGGTAAAATGAGTACCCAGCTCGCTTGGGGAGTGGTGGCAATGTGCAGCCTGCATAATTAACTAGCAAACCACCCAGAGATTGCATTAAGTGTTATCGGGTGGTATATGAGCAGCACAATTTATGGGCCAATGATTTTGTTTTCATGACTGTGTCCTTTTCATCTCCTTTAGCCTCTGCTTTCCTTGGGAATTATGGAGCAAAGTAGTTCCTGCTTTGAGTCAGAACTGGACTTCTGCTCTGAGTGTGGTACAGTCCTGCCTTTGCCTGGAGTCCAGGACAAGGTGACATGTCCTTGTTGTTCTTTCTCCATTGATGTGCGAGGTGAGAGCGTTGGCCTTTTGACATCTTGGCTCCTTCTCTCTCCTCTCCTTATGCTTCATTTTATCTGTGCCATAGTTTCACCTACTTCTTGAAACAGCACGTAATATTGTAAACTACTGGCTGAAATCCAGCAGTGTCACAGCTAGAATAGCCTTTTTCAATCTTATAGACGTGTTGATTTACCAAATTCCTGTTGATTCAATGGGCTTTCTCTAGTCGTGGCTTGGGACTGGAATTCAGCCTATGTTAGATTGTGGATCACATCAGATTGTGCTTGAATGAAGACCTGGAAAAATAAAGGGTCAGGAGCAACTGGGTCCTTGCACTGACAGAAGAAACTTGTCCACAGGTCTCAGGAGAGGTGATTTCTTACCACTGCAGTGGGATGTTCTCCTTTACTGTCACTGTGTTACACAGAGATTATGGTAATTGTACCTCAGCTGTATATGCAGGCCTGTATGAACTTGCTGCTGGAGTAAAAAAAAAGCTACAGGTAATGTATATGCTTCAATTAACAAGTTCTGTTCTCAGTTGTCCTTCCTCTGTTTCCTTTTAAAACAGATTTTGAAAAGAGAGTTATCCATACATCCATCCCATTCAATAGGATAGATTCCATGTCTTTGATGTTGGATGAAGGAAAAGCAGTCAAAGGACCCTTGGTGAGTGAGGAGGGAGATGGGAAAAAAACCAAGCAGTTCCTTTGGACATAGGAGCATGGCTCAAGAAGGTTGGGTGGCACAGGTTGACATATTTATTATTCAGAAGTGGTCTTTTGATGACTTTCAACTCATCACTGTAAGTGAGGCTTACTCCATCCGCAAGAAGAGGGATTGGTATTCATAATACAGTAGGACCTCCGTATCCACAGGATCAGTATTTGCTGACTCACTTATCCACATTCTTTTAAAATATTAAAAGAAATGCCCTAGAAATAAATATTTCTAAAGATGAAGTTGCCAGAACTAGCCACTAGAGAGAACCAGAATCTATGGTATGTATAGCGTTTGCTATTGAAATAGTGTTCCATGTTTTTCAGCATCCACGGGGTAGGGGAATGAGGAATGACTTGGAACTGACCGCCTATGGATATGGGGTCCTTCTGCACCTGGATAACAACGAAGTCAGGACAAATACAAAAATATTGAGACGCCTTTAAGATCAGTACATTTATTTCACTATGTGCTTTTGTGCGTATAATTCGCTTCTTCAGATACAGAATGCATTGAAATAAATGTATCGGGTCTTAAAAATGCCACCGTGCATTTGTTTTGTGTTGTTCTTTTGTTGTTGCTGAAACAATCTAACATAGCAGTTCCCCTTAAAAATAGCATGGAGATACAACTGATGTTGCGCATGGTTGTGGCTTGCAAGTTCAGTCAATAAGTTGGCCCTCGTTTGGGCTTTTGTTCCGTAGCCACAGAGAAACAGAGTACCATGTGGATTACAGGAATCTGCAGACGAGCTAAACTGCCCCGTAAAGGGATGGAGATCCTGTAAGAAAAGAGCCCCCCTTCTAGTATGTGAGACGAGGGGGCCAATGTGGAGTAATGATTAGAATGTATTCTTGAAGGCTTTCATGGCTGGGATCCAATGGCTGTTGTGGGTTTTCCAGGCTGTTTGAGTTGTGGGTTTTCCTTAAGAACACGGCCAAACAGCCCAGAAAACCCACAACAACGAATGGTTAGAATATTGGACTGGGATTTGGGAGAGTTTGTTCAAGTCCCTGCTGGGCCAGGAAACCCATTGGGTGACCTTGGGCCAGTCACCATCTCTCAGCTTTCTTTTTCCCCCTACAGGATCAATGAGAGCAGTGGTTCCCAACTTCGGGTCCCCAGAGGATTTTCCCCGTACAGGATCAGTGAGAGCAGTGGTTCCCAACTTTGGGTCGGTCCCCCAGATGTTCTTGGACAACAACTCTCAGAAATCCTGGCCAGCACAGCTAGTGTTGAAGGCTTCTGGGAGTTGCAGTCCAAGAATAATTGGATTATTCAAGGGTGGGATTTAGAGAATCAAGTGTGGAGGAGAACCATGAGGATAGTTTAAAACAGTAGTTCTTAACCTTGGGTTACTCTGGTGTTTTTGAACTGCAACTCCCAGAAACCCCATCCAGCACAGCTGGTGGTGAAGGCTTCTGGGAGTTGCAGTCAAAAAACACCTGAGTAACCCAAGGTTAAGAACCACTGGTTTAAACTTAACAAAGGAAAGGCTGGATATAAATGAAGCTGATAAATGAGCAGGGATGTTGCACCCTGTGTTTTGTCAGGAATGTGTGGTTTAATTAGGCTCATCCTGTAGGTCTTCATTTCAATCTTTTTAGGTTGACCGGAAATGTCCCCAGTGTGGACACGAAGGAATGGCTTACCACACACGACAAATGCGGTCTGCAGATGAAGGGCAGACGGTCTTCTACACCTGCATCCAGTGCAGGTAAGGAAAGGCTTGTTTCTGCTTCAGTCATCAACACATTGTGTACCTTGTAAATATGATGCAAAATGAGTTGGCCTGACTGTTCTGACTTGTTAGCACAAGGAACCTCCGCCCCTCCCCCCTTCAGTTGATTGGTTAAGGCAGGGGTCCCCAACCCCCGGTCCGTGGCCCAGTGCCAGTCCGTGGGCTTCCTTGAACTGGGCCGCAGACACGGATCTCCAGCACCCTGCCCGCACAGTGGGTGTGTTGCGCTTGCGGGTGGGTGTGTTGCGCTTTTGCACATGTGTTCAAGCATGACACGCCCCTCCACAAAGCACAGCATGCCCACCCGCGAGCGTGACACACCCACCCAGAAGCGCAGGGGTGCCCCCACCCCCTGCGCATAGAGCACGCACCTCCCAGCTGGGAGCACGCACCTCCCGAAAAATGTTGGGGACCGCTGGTTAAGGAACTTAGGGTGTAAATGTTACTAAGATCAAATGATGCAATCTCATTTTTGGCCCTGCTTTGGGTGCCTTGGTGGACAGCCTGCACAAAGAACCATATACAGTCATGTCCTGCTTTACGATTACCCCATTTAACAATGAATCCGCTTGACAGTGAGGTTTTTGTGATCGCTTTTGCGATTGCAGAACGATGGTTTGAATGGGGTTTTTCCGCTTTGCGATGATTGGTTCCCTGCTTTGGGAACCGATTTTCGCTTTACGACGATAAAAAACAGCTGATCGTCGGGCTTGAAAATGGCCACTGGCTGGAGAAAATGGCCCTCCGCTGTGCTTAGGGACAGATTCCTCGCTGCACAGGCACTGAAAATGGCCGCCCCTGAGTGGTTTACAATTTGATTATTCGGGCTACACATTGCTCCCTACTCCCCATGAGGTGGGTACTCAATTTACTGACTTTGGAAGGATGGAAGGCTGAGCCGGCTACCTTGAGCTCCTCAGGATCAAACTCAGGTCGTGAGCAGAGTCCTGATTGCAGTACTGCAGTTTAAGCACTGTGGATATGAGGCTCCCCGAAGATGGCATGTAGAGGACATCTGCTGGTCTCCATGGCCATTGACTTTGGATCTTGCAAAGATCTATCGTGTTCTTCATGTTGTGCCGTGTCCACATAGAACAAAAGTGTGTGGGGGGGTGCTCATAGTTTTGGTGTGTGGACTGGGGTTTGGAGGAATGATATTAAAGATGATTGTAATCATTTCTGAGAATGAGCTTTAAAAAAACAAACAAAAGCAATGTGCTGCTTATATACCAAAAGCAAATGTGCTGCCCTATAGTGCTTAAAGCACTCTCTGAGTGGTTTGCAGTTTAATTATTGAGGCTACACATTGCTCCCTACTCCCCATGAGGTAGGTACTGACTTTGGAAGGATGGAAGGCTGAGCCGGCTACCTTGAGCCCCTCTGGATCAAGCTCAGGTCATGAGCAGAGTTTGCAATACTGCAGTTTAAGCACTGTGGGTACGAGGCTCCCCGAAGATGGCATGTAGAGGACATCTGCTGGTCTCCATGGTCATTGACTTTGGATCTTGCAAACATCTATTGTGTTCTTCATGTTGTGCCGTGTCCACATAGAACAAAGGTGTGTGTGTGTGGGGGGGGTGCTCATAGTTTTGGTGTGTGGAATCACTGATTATTCTATTCTCCCTGAAGCTGGTCTGTCTACATCAGTGATCTTGTGTTTTGTGTGCAGTGTCAGTACGTTACATGGATCTCATAGCACAGCTGAAGATACTTAGTTTTGTTTTGTTTGTGATTCCAGATTCCAGGAAAAGGAGGATTCTTGATGAAATTTGCTCAGATATATGGAGGACGCTGCCTGTGGCCTTGCTCTCTTCCTGATACAGTTAGACATGCTCCACAGTCCTTTCTGTGCAGTTTTACAGTGACGGTGTAATGTTTTCAGGTGTTGTGGAAGAATCTTGTTGCTTCAACTGAATTACTTGCAGATGGCGACGGTAGGTTTTCCTTCGTGAACCACGCGGGTGGCAGGAACCATCAAAGGAAAACAGAACTAACGTCAGGAGACGGCGATAACAAAAGAGTCCGTCAGGAAGTTCAAAACCTTCCTTCTTTGGTCAGTGAAAACAAAGGACCGTTGGGCCGGGCAAATCCAGTTCTAATTACAATGTATGCAACTTTTCAGATCTTTCCTGTTGTTGCTGCTACCATCTGTCTCTCAGGATACTTATTTTGACATCACCCTGTCTTCCATGACATTCTGTTCATATAATCAAAAAATGTTTTGTGCTGGGGCAGTAGTGAGATCCTGATCCTGCTGCTTTTGTGCTTCCTGTGTATTTTTGGTAGCAGCCGAAATGGGACCAGTATCTTCCAACCTCTCTGGCGTCTTGGGAACCTACCAATAAAAGTGATAATAAGGGATAGCCGGTGGCATTTTGTGTTTTCTCTTACCAACAATTACCTTCAACGATCTTTATTGAAGGGCTACAACGACTGAAGGTGTAGACATGCTTGAGATACTGCATTCAGAAAGTAAACTAGGAACAAAATTCAAGCCATGTTCAGATTGTTAGTGGTGTATGTATTTCTGCCGATGGACGTGAGTTTCCCTAGTAAATGTGTCTGCATAAACTTAAGTGTCATGTGGCTTTCTTCATGCATGCTTCTTCTTGCGTTTGGTGATCAAAATGTGTATGTTTTTAAGAAAGCCGGATGTTGCTCAGCCTGAGCCAATCATGAAAGTGCCTCTTATAAGTTACTTATTTATTTGTTTAAATATTTTTTTACCCTGCCTTTCTCCTTAAAAAGAACCCCAAGGAGGCTTACATAATTAAAAGACAGTATTTAAAGCTAACAGTTGTACTCGTAAGGTAGAACAATCTATTTAAAACCCCCACTCAGACTCTGGGACAGCTTGCCTAAAAAGAAAGGGAGAGTTAGGGAGTACAATCTGTAGGCATACGTATGTCAGATCCCAGGTGTGGCAAAAAGCCATCTGTTCATTTTATAAACTATACATCAGACCTATGGAAATGTGTGGTCCTTTAGTTGTTTTTGGGAACTCTAGTGCCCATCAGTCTCAGCCAGTGTTCAGTGTTCAGTGATGATGAGAATTGCAGTCCAGGAACATTTGGAGGACTACAGATTCACGACATCAGTGAATCTTCACCATATGTTGATGTAACTTGTTTCAGAATACTGTACAGTACTGTATAATATTTGATGGAATCAAGTCGCAAGGAGAAGGCTGCTCCGTTCCTTTTTTGCAGGCAGGGATCTGTAGCTGCTGCTCAACAGGATGCTAGATTTTACAGAACTTTGATACAGATACAGATAGCAGTGGACACCGGTAACATCAAGGGAATGTATGATGGTATCAAGCAGGCTTTAGGTCCAATACAGAAGAAATCTGCTCCCTTGAAGTCTGCTACAGGTGTGATCATCCAGGACCAAGCACAGCAGATGGACTGCTGGATGCAGCACTACTCTGAGCTATATTCCAGAGAGAATGTAGTAACCAGAGAAGCATTAAATAACATTGAGTGCCTGCCTGTCTTGGAAAAGCTGGGCAGTGAACCAACCTTAGCAGAAATAAAAGCGGCCTTAGATTCCCTTGCCTCCGGCAAGGCACCTGAAAAAGATAACATCCCTGTTGAAGTACTGAAGTGCTGTAAAGAGAACATCACCACCAAACTGTATGAAGTCTTTTGGGGATCTTTTTTGCTGTCATGCTGAAGTGCGCCTTTGGAACTGCAACATGTCTACGGACGAGATCAGATGGAAAACTCTTTAATCTCTCTAGATTTGAGAGCGAGGACCAGAGTCCAACTGAAATGCATGCGGGACTTCTTATTTGCCAATGATGCAGCTGTTCTTGCCCATTCTGCTGGAGACCTCCAACAACTCATGAATCGTTTTAGCAAGGCCTGCCAAGACTGGACTAACAAATAGCCCCCGCAGAAGCACATATTTCCAAGGTATATTATGCCAAACGTTATGCTGTATATAGGGTTTTTGGTGTCCAAAGGGGGGCTTGTAATCAATCCCTTTTGGATACTGTGGTTCTACTACATGAGTTTTTTTTGTTTTTGGTAGTCATATTTATTTCCCTTCTGTGCATTCATTGACTTCCTATGTATTTAGCTATTTTAAAAGCAGTGGCTCAGGTGCAGGTTCCATAGAGTTGAGTGGAGCTTACTCCCAGATAAATGGTTATGATCTTGCAGCCTAAGTAGACCTATAGGATGCCAAAGGACAAATCTGTTTAATCAGATTTTTTAATGTACTTAAGTGTGGGGTATTTTTAAAGATCCAATATGAACACCATTATATTGTGTGCTACAGAATAAACTACTGTATACTTATTTCATCAGGTACTTTCTGCACCTTACTATCCCTTCAAAAGAAAAGTGTCTCCTGAGGGAATCTTCCTCACAAGTAGAGCAGGTGACTTTTGCTTCTGAGTTTCACTGAAAAACAGCATGGGACGTGTTTGCTCAATTATGTTATATGTACTAAGAAAAAATTACCACTTTGGGATGTTTGTTTGTTTAACCAATATAATAAAAAAGGAAAGTATAATAAAAAGAAAGCAAAAATTAAAAAGTGAAGAATAGTGACACCATAAAGACAAGTGGATTTGCTTTCAGTACAAACTTTTGTGGCTTATGATTTATTTCCTCAGACATACAGAGTAAAATATTCAGCCACAGATTTATCTGCAATGGACTTAGTGGACTAAGTCTTGTGGACTTAGGGACCTGGTAATTATTCCTCTCTCTGAGTAAACAACCACTCTTTAAAAAGACAAATATTAAGTTCTATTAAGTTTCTACACAGTTATTCCTGAAGTGTACCTGTCTTGCCTGTCAATTTGTTTCCCCACACACATACCCCAATTAACTAGGTATTGTAGTTTTAAGAAATGCTAGCTGTAAATTATGTATGTTTGGAGTTTGTCTTGTCAGCTTAGTTATCCTGAATTTTTAAAAAATTGCTTTCCTTCATGTTTGGAGTGTGGAAACAGACTACTCTTCGAAATCTCTTATTTGTTCCCTTTTAACTACTAAGAGCGGTAGGGGGGAAGTCCTGATCGGGTTTGTCATTCAGGTGCCAAAGTAATTTTGTGGGCCTTGCCTTTGGAGAGGAACATGATGTCTGCTTGTACTTGTGCAAATTTCTTCATGAGGTGGAGGGGGTTCTCGACTCTAAAAGTACAGCTATGAAAGGTACTGAATCGAGCCGAATAGAGTGAAGTAGATCCTTCGCTGGCTTTGAGTACCTAAGGAACCCAATTGTACGGCAGGTCCACAAGTTTGGTTTTAATATAAACGACAATTAATTTATTTCTCACAAGAGGGGCTCAACCTCTTTTAAGTAATGGCTGCGTAAAGTATGGCACGAAAAGGCATGAAAGGTGGCTTTGAGTACCTAGAGAACCCAATTGTACGGCCGGTCCACAAGTTTGGTTTTAATATCAACGACAATTAATTTATTCCTCACAAGAGGGGTTTAACCTCTTTTAAGTAACGGCTGCGTAAAGTATGGCATGAAAAGGCATGTAACAAACAAACAAAAAACCCGCAACGGCGGGGGGGGGGGAGGGAGAGGAGAGAGAGAGAGAGAGAGAAACGCATGAGCAGTAAGCCCCGTAGACCCTCTTAGAACTTATTTTTCTCCGGGTCCCTCACTGCGCTCGCGACCCCCGCCCTTTTAATGTGTACGGCGGAAGTGACTCTGGTGTCTCGGAGGGGGGCTGATTATGGTGTGGGACACCAGGAAAGAGGAAGCAGTAGAACCGGAAGTAGGTAGGGATGAGGCTGCTGCACCTGTGAAGGAGGTAGAGCGAGAGAGAGAGAGAGAGGAGGCGGGAGCCGCGGCGTGAGGGTGGCGAGTACGGCTGAACAGGTGCCAGGACGTTGCCTGGGCCCTTTGGCTAGCTCGGGGTCGGTGTTCGCTGGATAACTTTCCCTCCTGAAACGGGCACTGCGTCGGGCGGGGACCCGGGTCGCCCCAGGATGGCAGAGTCAACCACCAGCGTGGGAGCCACAGCGACGGTCACCGAGACGGAGGTGACTGAGCCGGTGAGCAGCTAATGGCGAGGGTGGGGCCGAGGGGAGAGGCCGGTAGGGGCACGCGTTGATGGGGGAGGGCCCGGGGAGCGCCATGGCAACCACGGTGATGAAGGAGAAGAAGCCCTGGGAACGGGTCCACTGCGGTTGTCCTGGCAACTGTGGGGCCAGGGAGGGGGGTCTGGTGGTCGTGAGAAGAGCTGTGTGGCAACACGTGTCTTGTGGGGGGGGGATCTTCCCTCGATGGGAGAAGGGAAGGGCTGTGATAACCTGAGGACCGTTGCTTGTGATGCTTTTTAAAACGGGGAACAGGTCTGCCTGCACGTATGAGTCATGCTGAATAAATGAAGCGCCCACGTCCAGAGGTAAAATGTAGCTGAGTACCGGTTGTGGGGAGAGGGGGGTTGGTGCCCACGTGTCTTGTTCGTGTGCTTCCTTGACAGCCTCTCGCTGTTGGGAAAAAGCAGGATGCTAGGACTTGTTTAGACCTTGGGCTTGCTCCTGGCAGAGTTCTTCCTTTTTTAGTGATTTTATTCAATAAATTGTTACAATATTTTTATTCTCTTTTTAAAAACATTTTCTATATTCCACTCATTTCATAAAATGCTACTGCATGCTTTTATCCCAACTGCACCCTCATAAAATTAGGATGGTCCAAGGTCACCCAGTGAGTGTTTTCCTCTCAGTGGAGATTTGAACTTGGGTGTGTCTGTTTCTTTTTTAACACTTTGCTGCCCATTACGGTGCATTAGGTCTCCGATGAGAGTAGCAGTTGCTGTGTTAGCCAGAGCAGCAATGTTTGCTAAAATGGGGATTTCAGCATACACTGTGGTTGTAGCATCTTTCCTCATAGTAAATAAGATTTGGTACAGAATACAATAAAATAGTGATAATCATACCTAGTTTCTGTGCTGTAACCCAGGATTGAATAAAGGATGGGATATTATTGCAACCACTTCAGGTTTGGGATTCCATGGAGATGATAGGTGCTGGTCTTTAATCATGATGAATTGAGTTCAATTCAATTCATGGAGATGATCTTCAGCTGTGGCCTGGCCAGATTAGGACAGTGTTACTGAATCTTATTTCTTGATGGATTCTTTAGAAGAGAATAAACAGCCCAGAGGCCCGGCCTACAATTACTGTTCCCTACACCTGTTGGTCCTAATAGTTAATGCATTTCTAGTTGCCATCTGTTCTGTTGATCTTTGATCCAAGAACAATATTTTAGCTAGGTTAGTTCCAAGCTCCACTGAATCTTCTAGCCTCATGAGCCGCTTTTCGTGGAAATTAGAAAACAAAATAGCGGTAGAAGGAAGTATGTGTCATCTTGAACGTGAAATTGAGGAAGATGGCTGCTTGGAAGCATTTAGCTAACCACAGCCTGATGCACAGTGTTATTTGTATGCTTGTGTCTACATAAAGAATCATGCTTTTCATAGTATTTTGAACTTTGCCTGGCCTTTTACAGGGAGATTCATAAGCATTAATAAAATATGCATTGCACGTCTATGATAAACAATTTGCATCCATTTATTTACAAGATTTTTTTTAGCTGTGCCATTGCCAGTGGTCTCTGAGCAGCATACAACAATATTAAAACTTTAGAAAACATTTAAACCATGAAAAATAGGCAATATTATAATAATACCCTAGATTAAAACAGTAATTAAAACATTAATATTAATAAATCCTGCTGCTCATACAGCCAGCTAAAGGATAGGTACAGGTAAAGGATCCCCTTGACAATTTTTGTCCAGTCGTGTCTGACTCTAGGGGGCGGTGCTCATCGCCATTCCCAAGCCTTAAAGCCAGCGTTTGTCTGAAGACAATCTTCTGTGGTCACATGTCCAGTGCGATTTAGGCACGGAACGCTATTACCTTCCCACCGAGGTGGTCCCTATTTATCTACTCGCATTTTTACATGCTTTCGAACCACTAGGTTGGCGGGAGCTGGGACAGGCGACAGGCACTCACTCCATCACGTGGATTCGATCTTACAGCTGAAGATCTACAGACCTTACAGCACAGAGGCTTCTGCGCTTTAATCCGCAGTGCCACCATGTCCCAGCTAAAGCTAAAGGATACTTACTGTTTAATTAAAATTCTGGCTGAACAGGAAGGTCTTTGCTTGGTGCCGAAAAGCCAAAAGTGTTGGAGCTAGGCGGATCTCTATAGGGAGGGCATTCCACAGTTGGGGGGCAACAGCCGAGAAGGCCCTATTTCGGCATGCCATCCCCCTCACCTCTTTCAGGTATGGCACCTTCAGAAGGGCCTCCTGGCCTGATCTTAGAGGAGAGGCAGGCGCATATGGAAGAAGGCGGTCCTTTAGGTAATCAGGTCCCAAGGCCATTTAGGGCTTTATATGTCAAAGTAAGCCCTTTGAATTGGGCCCAAGCAGCAACCTGGCAGTCAATGTAAATTTTTCATAACCGGTGTGATATGAGTCCATGTGGCGGCACCACTTACCAGCCACGCAGCTCAGTTCTGTGTCAGTTGCAGGACCATCTTAAAAGGCTGCCCCCACATATAGCGCATTGCAGTAGTCCAGTCCCGTTGTTACCAGTGCATTTGTGACTGTTGCCAGGCTCCGCTAATCCAGTTAAGGGTAACATTGATATATTCTCCGCAGCTGTAGGAAGGCACCCCTGGACACTGAGTCCACCTGAGCTTCCAAGGTCAGACCCAGGTCAAGGAGCCAGATGCTGTCCTTTAGGGGGAGTGTAACCCCGTCTAAGGCAGGGAAATGGCCCTTTAACCTATCTGGCAGAGCACCTACTAGCAGCACTTCCGACTTGTCTGGATTGAGCCTCAGTTTATTGATCCTCATCCAGTCCATTATCGAGTCCAGAACGACAACTGCCACACCTGGATTGGTAGAGAATGAAAGGTAGAGCTGGGTGTCATCAGCATATTGCTGACTCCTCAGCCCAAACCTCCTAATGACCTCCCCCAGTGGTTTCATTTGATATTGAATAGCATGGGGGACAGTACAGAGCCCTGAGGAACCCCATGATGCAACCACCATTAATAGAGTTACTGTCCCCCAGCACCATCTTTTGGACTCAATCAGCCAGGTAGGAGCGGAACCATTGTAAAACGGTGCCTCCTATTCCTATCCCAAGCCAATCTGTCCAGAGGGACACCATGGTTGATGGTGTCGAAAGCAGCTGAGAGGTCCAGGAGAATCAATAGGGATGCATTCCCCCTGTCTTTCTCCCGGCAAAGG